AAATATATAAAGAGGGATATCGGGATATCTGTGATATCATGTGATATCTTAACCTGTGACCATGATAATACCAAAGAGTGCTGTCTTGAAATGGCTTCAGCTTTTCACTGGATCCTTTCCTGGACCGAGATTTGGTTCAAACCTTCGACTGAAAAAGTCCGGGGAGTTGGAGACGAACCACCGAGACTTTCGGAACGAAGCAAAAACCTCAGGCTTCTCAGTGCTGGGAGATGGTGCTTTGTCATGTCTAAAAGAAAAGAAAGACTCTCAGCATTGTGTATTCACGGTCTTCTATGCCTATGGCCCCATAACCTATGGTATCCTATGGTCATGTATGCAAGTACATTGGAAGTGCCAAACTGCAAGAACTAAGAGGAGAAGACACGCCCGTGCCCGATTCTCGCCTGTGAGTGGCTGCAGTCAAAATCAGCGCCGCAGTCCTCGAGGTGATGGTTCGGCTAACATCCATGCCCCTCTCTATGCTATCCGACAAGGAAGTCCAAGAATGTAAAGCTCACAGTCGATTCAAGTTCGGCTATGCGTGCATTGTCGAATGTTTTAACAACCTTGAAGTGTGGGAGAGAATTGGCAAGAAATCTGGAGAGTAGTCACGCATAAAAGCTGTCTTTGTAGGTGTTTGCATTTGGTGGATCTTTGCGCGGAACTGGCATGCTTGTGAGGTTGAACCGTTGAACCGATACTGTCCGCACAGTAGGGAGTTTGTTTAGTTCTTAAAGGTGGAAATTGGAGTGTGCTTGGAGCACTGAAAGCACACTCTCCAGCGACTTCGGATGGTCTCGCTGCTGAAGAGAAGACAATCTGCTACATGGTGCCCATACTTGCAACTAGCCAAGTTCGAACCGACAAGCTGGGCTAGGTACATCCAACATTGTCCGAAAAGCTGTTGCTCCTAGTTGTGCTTTGGTGCTTCGGCTTCACACCGTAAAACTAAGATTCTGTAGAAGACTGCAAAGTTGCCTGCTCGCAATTCCTTTCAGCTTTGCACCACTGCTTCACCCCGGTCACATCCCAAGCCCGCCTGAATCTGGATCTCAGAGGCTTGCCGCACGGTGTCAGGAAACTGAGCCCAGTTGCGAAAACAGTGCTGGGTCGCTCTACTCATCCCTGTGCAAAGGTATCCGTATGCGGTTTTGATCTACACCCGGCTTGCTGAGGATCAGGGTCAAATCAGACCGCTGTTTCCCAGAAACTGGTCAGTGGAGCAATACCTCTACAGCAGCATTACCCCCCACTGTAAACTTTTTCTACGCTCAAGTTTTGATCTCGATTGGTATGATAAAAGGCGTTTTCAGGTGGTTTCACAATGATGTCCATTCCTTGCAAAAGGTTTACACAGCAACTGTGAAGGCAGTTGAACCCTTGAAACCTGGCAAAGCTGACAGGGAACATGAGACTGTATATCCTCTCTTGCATGAAAGCATTGAAAGCATGTTGTGATAATCTTGCTGAAGGCGCTGAACATTGCATCTGTCCCTGCTGTCTTTGGCTGTGCATGGTAGCTGGGCCAGACGCGTCTTGCTTGCCGTTGTTCCCTCAAGGTATTTCAAAGCACATTTGGATCCTTGGGCACCTTCTCCTTGGGCACTTGTTACTAGTAGTTTCTTGCTAGTAGTAGTAATGCCCTTGTTACTAGTAGTGATGCACTTGTTACTAGTATATCTAGAACTTCGATGATCTAAACCTGCAAAGGAGTTTGCCAGCGGTCAAATGCAAACATGACGGCCATGTACAAATATTATTGGACATGAGGACCTCCGCCACTCATCCCGGCTGTTGCCGATAGGGTGCAGAGCCATTCTGGAAGACACGCTGTGCGAAGTAGAGATATCCATGAACCTCTGTGACCTCGGACGTAACATAAACAACCGCAACTCAACCCTTACATGCCTTACATAAACTTACAGTACAAAGCTCAAAATGTTGTCTCTGCTTGCTAGAAGCTGAGTGGATGTAAAAAGCAGGGGCAAGCCTTCAAACCTCTCCATGCAGCAGAAAGAATGTATATAGCTCTCTCGGAACAGCGGACAACACCCAGTTTCAGAAAGCATGTGGCAGTGTAGTTGGTCAGGCCAATACAAAAAAATGCTGTCCAAGCCAAGAACTGGGCTGGGGATTCGTGGAAATGGATAAACATCCATCCTGACTTGATAAATGTCCATCGGACAAAATGGTGAAAAGGGACCGCAAAGGCCGCAAGGAACTGTCCTGAGCTTGTTGCAGCCTCAGTTGAGTTGATCGCAAAGCTGGTGCGTAAGACCTCGGCGGAAGCTTCTGCGATCTTCCGTGAGGAGTCCTGACAAAAGGACCAGCCTAATCTGGGAAATGCGGCTACTGGCTTTCTTAACCTCGCGACCTATAACAAGATGCTTCAAAACACCTCCAGAATAGCAGAATAGGAGCGGTTCATGCGACCTTGGATGTTGTGAAGCAAAGATCAAGTTCTCCACACTGCTCAGGTCGAGACCTCCGGGGCCCTGGTCACGTTCTCGTTCACATAGAAACTGACGTGGCCGGGGCATCTTACGTCTTGCCCGATCGTTTCATTGTCAGCTGGTTTCTTGTAAAACCCGTGGAGGCCAGTTAGTTGAACAACAAAGCCATCAACAGATATTGGGAACATGTAATTCTGGAATTCTCTGCTGTGTGCAAGGTACATACCCGTTTCAGGTGGAAACAAGACTCTGTTGAAAAGAGTAATCAAGCCCTCAGTCGTGTGTTTCACATCGTCAATGCATTGCATTCCTATGTCACCTACCAACATCTGGCAAAGAAATCGATCCGGTCCATCAGATTGTCGGGTCCAAAGGGTAAGTTTGCTGGGCAAGGCAATAAACATCAATAAACAACGAGGTACGTGGTGGGCATCTGAGTCTCCATGGTTGCATGTAGAGGATGCCCCAAGTGCCTCCATGACCTTGACCGATTCGTATCCAGCATGGGCCTCGGACTGCGCTCCATGGAGTTCATTCATGGAACTTATTCTGAGACGATAGATACATACAGATACTATCATAGAGTTACATATATATATATATATTATACCTGGACCTTCCGCGGGTGTGTTTTTTCTGCCGTTTGGCGAAACAGCACAAATTTCAGTCGTTTGCCGTAAAAAACGCCGTTTCATCTCAAAAGTGACGTTTCGATGTTTTTTACAGAGGTTACCAAACTAGCAGTTGGCAAAAGTCGCCGTTTGGTTGGGGAAAGTCGCCGTTTGGTCGGGAAAAGTCGCCGTATCAAAACCTTAACATACCATCGAAAACATGTCAATGCAAAAAGTGCTTCAGTACAAAAATAGTTGGCGTTTGCTTGAAAAAGCAGTTTTGATTGAAAAGGCGGAAAAAATGCATACTTATGAAGACCCAGGTATATATAATATAGGGTTATAATTGAATGTTATAGAATCAATTGGAATCGGAGTTGTGAACCAATCATCCATACCTCCATAAAATTTGGTCATGTCCATGCTCCTCAGTTGCCCTGCAGCAAAAGCGTGGCGAATGAATGCTCCACCAAATCCATCCAAATCCCTCTTTCTACTCTAGACTCAAAACAAACGGATTTCCAAGCATGTTTCCGTAAGCGAGCCAAGGCACAAAGGATTGTCCATCATGTCATAGACCACCCCTGCGTTGCTGGTCATGAGGAAGTACCTTGCATATGTTCACACGAGCACGTGGAACGATGACGGTCCCGATTTTGGGATTGGGTCAGAAAGCCCACTCTGTGTTCAGATCCCGTGACTGCTCGATACCTCCAAAGCTCCGACATGTTCGGTCTAGGATCTTGGGTGGGCCGAATGCATGGTCCAAGCATGCATGAGCTTGGCAGGCAGTGATTTTGCACATCAGCATCCATCATCAAGACCCCACTTGGAGATCCTTCGAAAGACCTGGATCAAACATCATGCCTTTTTGACATACACTTTTGGATACATGTGGGGGTCTGGAATGTTCCCGTCTCGTTGCATCAAGTTTCCCCAAATATGGGAACAACATCATTAGTGCGAGCTTCCTTGTGTGGGGTAATGTGAAAACCTACCTAGAAGCTTACTCAAGCTACTAGCTACCTCTTCCTCTATCCACCCCTCCGGCCTTAAAAAAAGGTTCTGTCATCCTCCGAGATATTATATAATCCTCTGGACCCAGCATTGCCCTCCGACCCCTTGGGCTGTTCCAGGTCACGTGATGCCACTCTCCAGCTCTTGACAACCACCTGGCAGCCAGTAGCCATCAGTTTTTTGGGGTGGCCAAACAAACATGGCTAATGACATGTGTAAGATTGATGTGGGTTGCACTACCCTGGTGATGTTGTCTGTGTACTGCTACATAAATAATGCATTTGCACGGATTTGTCATCCCAGAATGTTGTAAGAGACACTTCATGATAGCTAGTGGCACCAAAGCAAAGTCAACGAATTTGTACTGTAAATGATCTACAGTAATTCTGACACCATCTGACACCCGTACACTGCACCTGGACCTGATAAATCTGCTCCTAATCAATTTCAATGGAGAGATTAATCTGTCCCTTTCCCAGTCAACTGTTTTCATCCCCTATGGGCGTTCAACAGGGTAAGGGGGTTGCGTCATTCGCCCAAACTTTCTTACTGCTACGGCACAATTGCATTCCATGGCATTCTGTTGCCTGCACAAAGCAGATCTGGAATGAGGCTGACAGTGTTGCCATCAATGAGCTTTCGCCTGGACCATGGGCATATGCAATGGACATCTGAGATCTTCTGTCGAATCATTGATCATTGACCCTTTGACCAAGTGCTCTGAAATCTTCACCAATTCAAACTTCAAAATCCTTGTGCCAACACATCTTAGAGTCTTAGAGGTGTTTTCTGGTCGTTTTCGAATCAGAAATCAATTTCAATTGGCACCTATGCTGCATGCTCCTAAACACCTCCTCCCGGATTCGAACGATGAAGGAGATTGACCAACCCTAACCAATCCCCGATCGATCCCCTCGGCTCACCCAAAGTGCTCAGGATTGGCAGCTGCGAGCATCTCCACATCCACTCGAAGCTTGGGCCCTGCAAACTTGTACAGGTCATTCCAGTGACTCTGCAAACACTCTGCGTGCTTTGAGAAAAAGCAGCCAGGTAGCCACCAGGCTCATTCCCCTTGTTTTGTCTCGCCTGTGGTGTCCTCGATGTCCCAGAGCTCAAAGAAGCCCACACCCGGCTTGATCTCCTCGGTGAAGCCTCAGCAAAAGCTCTATCAACCTACTAGCGATGGCCTCCAACCGAAGAGTGATGGCCTCCAAGCTTGAAAAAGAAACAGGGAAGACTGGTTGAGGTATTTATAGAGCCGGTCATTGTTCATCAACAAACCCAGCTCGCCAAATTCCTGACTCCCTCTCAACAGTGCTTGAAATTGCCGGGATCCTCGGACAGCTTGAGGGACATTCAGGATCTCAGTGCTTTTCTTACGGTGGCCCTTCTTCTTGCCACCACTACTGGTGCCCTTCTTCTTTTCTTCAGGAGCCTGGTGATGCCTTGGAGCCCCAAAAAGGCATCCCTCCACCAGAGGAAGACTCCGTACTGCAGCAAGAACTACTCAACTCCATGCTGCCTTGATCAGCCTCGATCTACCCTGTTGAGTGGCTTTTTGAAAGCATGGCCTCACTGTACCACTATGACGGCGATCCCGACCCAATCCTGAGGTGGCCACGCAGTTGAATGCTCTCTTGCTCTGTAGCATTGCGCCCGTTCAAAGGGTGGCAATTCAACCTAGAAGCTGCCAGGTGGAAATCTGGAGATCTAGAAAAGGCAAACCCTATCATACAGAATCTTGATCTGTGTCCTTACTACGGATGGATTGTGCACAGTAATTGTCTGGGGGTTGGAGCAGTTGCTGCTTTCAATAGCTGACAGTCGCTCAAGCTGCCAAACAGACAGTGCCTGCCTTGCATTTCCTCTACCTATATTGTACAAAAAAAAATCCTCAGTTGCTCTAGGAATGTGCAGAATACAAGGAGCAAATCCAAGGAATCTTGAGGTTACTAGCGCAAGTCCAAGGAGCAAATCCAGCTCCGGCATTCGCAGATCATGCCTGTCAGCTGGTGGATGTCAGGCAAATGTCCCCCCTCTAATCGTATAATTGATATACTTGTTTATGTAACTTATAACTGTATAACTTGCTTTCCAAGAAGGCTATGCCCTTGGCACAAAGCCACAGCTCGATATAAGGGGCCAACAAACCATCAAATTTAGACTTTACAACAACATGTACAAAAGCCTTGAACATCTGAGTCCACTATTCAGTGACTGTTCAGCTGTTTGTCAAAAACAAAATGAGGATAGGCAGCACCTTGTCCGCAGGTTCAACACAAAGCCAACTGGCTGACCAAACTAAGGTGATTGACCAAACGAGTTGACTCTCTTTGAAGCACGTCAACCAAGCAAGATACCTGCGGAGCAGCAGAATCATAACCTCGCCAGGCAGACGAAAAAAATAGCATCTCGGGCTCCTGCGGGATGTTGCCCAATACGTCCTGCAGTAGCCGCTTGGTCTGCTGATACGACTAACTATGACTAACTGATTGTCTGCGTATACTTGTGAGTTTGGGACCAGTTTGGGCCAGAATGTGCCAAGGTTGACAGGCACTTCATCCACACCCAAATTCATCAGATGAGGCCGTCCAACATGCAGAACTGACTATTGGCTGTAAAGGCCACCCCACCAAGGTCGGTTGCTGTGCTATGAATCATAATGATCTTCCAGCATCGGCACTTTTCTTCATCGGACTGCTTCGACCACTGCAGCTCCCCCTTCGACCACGTTGCCTTTTGTCTCGGCTCTCCACTCTTGAGTCTCGAGTCAAGGTGATTAGTGCCAAGGGCACTTCCTCAAAGGTGCAGCAATAGCCTGGCAAGGTCCCAAGGTCTCAAGGGTTGAGAGATGGTCGCAATTAGAGCAGGTCCGTTGCGACTAGCACAGTATGCGTCGCGGAGACACAGTTCAAGTACGACTATTCGGACAAATATTATTCCATGTCTTTCAATAGTTTCGGATGATTTCAGACACCGTGTTATTCACATGTTGAGAGGACAATACATGATAATACCATGCGCACCTCTGCAGTTCTGTATCCATTGGCCATATTGACCACTGTTGACCCTTTTCGGCACCTAGAAGCTCGGTGACAGTGACATGACCGTAAACTGTCAAGGCCGCTGCCAGGTCCTGCAAGGCAGCCAAGCATGGTTCGATTCGTGAAAAGGCATGTCTTGTACTATCCAGGTGGTCCTGGCTAATGCCTGATTTGAACACCTGATAGACAAACATGCAGCTATTTTAAAGAAGGTGCCGAAGGCAGCAGGCTTAGGTTAAAAGTTCATTGAAATTCAACGTCCTTCCCAATCACCAAAGATACGAGTGATCAGTCTGAAGATCGAGTCTGGGGCATCTTCCAGCCCTTCATGGCAACATGTTGGGTTTGCTGAAGGTTCCCCTGACAAGCTAAGTGACTTCCCCAAGGTTGCAAAACATGTGAACCCCGACACGTCTGTGGCACCTCTCAAGTAAACTACCGGCCACAAAACAACCTGCCGAAGATCATCGGCAAAGGCACTCAAAATTGGCTGCCTCAATGCAGCAAAGAACCCTCCCTCTCCAAGCACGCCTTTTTGGAAGGACCACCAGGCAAAGGGGGGGATGCTGCAGGGCTGAGCAGAGCCCCCCCATAACTCCATCAGGCACAGCACTTGGGCTGTGTGATTTTCAGACTCTTCAACTAGGGAGGGAGGGTGGGACAAAAGAGAACTGCGCTCTATGTCAACCACCACTTCAACCTCAACCTAGTATCATGCATGCTTGTGGGTGAGGGTTTGTGTGATCGCCTAAAGGCGAGCTGATCCAACCCTCCCTCTCCAAGCACGCCTTTTTGGAAGGACCGCCAGGCAGAGGGGGGGATGCTGCAGGGCTGGCAGGTCAGCACCTGCAGCAGAGCCCCCCCATAACTCCACCACACAAGACGTGGTCCTTCCAAGCACTTGGCCCCTCACAGGCATCCCAAACAAAGCGTGCTCGGAAATCAAGCAGGAACAGCCTCCTTGGTGGCTAGCACTGCCCTAGGTTTAACAGCGCGTGCCAATCGGGATGAATGCGCTTCATAGGGTCTAGCGCCGTCCAAAATTCTTCGCGCCCGCTTTTCCGAGAAAGCCAATCTGCCCATTTGTTGCGAATACCTGCTACATGCGAGATTTTGAGCATGATGCCCCGTTGGGCTGCGTACACTGCCATTGCTTGAAGCACTGACGCCAAGGGCTGTCTCATTGTAAGTCCTTTCTGTGAGACAGCAACCACCCCAGCGTTGTCGCATTGCTGGCGCAAGGAGATCCAATTGGTTGTACCCTGCAACTTGAACTGCTCCACTTGGCCATCTAAAAGAGCCAGTTGTGCCAAAGCTTCCAGCGCTGCAATGAACAACTGCACTTTCCGTTCTTTGTGTGGGGGGAAGAACCAGGAGGGCAGATCATCCCCTCAAGAATGGTTGAAAAAATAGTAGATGTTTGCTGGATGCAGGTTGGAGCCCGGGGGTAGAAACCAGCCGCCAATACCCCATTCGTTACCTTCCGCAAAAGCATCAGCAGCAGCAATGGTTGCGGGGCCCAATTGTTCCATCAAGGAGAAAGGTTGATGGTTGTCCAGCACTGTACGAAAGAAGCGCACCACTGCCAATTCATCTTTGGACAATTTGATGGTGGAGGGTTCGGGCTCCCCGAATTTGACCCAAGGCAAGCCGTTTTTGTGGGGGGGCGACCAGCGCCTCTTTTGGGGAATGTACGCAACGAGCACCAATTTCAAGAAGGCCCCATCCTGCTTGCACATCTGACAGAGCCCCTGCTTGCTGCACCCGCATGCGCGGGCTGAGAAGTGTGTTGAGTGCTTGCAATTGCAAAGAGTCCAGCTTCAAGAAATGGAGACGTGGCTTATTGAGAGCGTAGAAAAATACTTGCAGCCATGGGCGCAGCCAGTGTGCCCCTGCTGTGTACCACACCAAACGCCCGACCAGGGACTGCAGCTGCTTCCGGCAAACCTGTTGAGGTGATTTGGAAATGTCACGCAGCGCTGCTCTGAAGAGCTGCAATTTATCATTGGGCAACGCGGCCATAGGCTGCCCCTCAAAATTGCAAAGCCAGCCTACCCACTGTAGGCAATTGCCTAAAGCTAGTTTATGCCAAGACAGAGGGAAGCCCAGCGCAGCCGCAAGGCAAATCAGAACACACGCCATTTCACCTGCTGTTCGTCTTGGCAGCAATGCAAGAACATCATCCACATACACACAAAGGAAGTGTGCATGGAAAAGCAATCGGCGCGCTGTTCGAATGAAGGCCGCTGCAAGACGCGACCACCAATAAGATGCCCAACTGCAACCAAAATGCGCTGTTTTGTAATACGCCCAGCGGGTCACGCCGGCGGCTGTTCTCACTGCAAACACACTGAGCCCTTGTTCCGAGGGGTGCGCTTTCACCCGCTTGTGTGCCTTCGAAAAGTCTGGGCTAAAGGGTACCCAGCTCTGGGAGGGGTGCTGGGAGACGAAGGAGGCCACGCTAGATAAGCTTGGCAATTCAATTTTTCCACGAATCTTGCAGAGTTTCTTCACGTTTGAGACTGTACTGTCGCCAACTAGCCTGGGGGGCTGAGCCAGGTTTATGGATGATGCCGGACGTCCCGCTCATCACCATTGATCCATTCCGCAAAGCCCTCCTGCACATCCTCTTCTATCAGCTGCTCTAACAGTTCCGGCTTGTCCAGTCCGGACTGCCAGGGTGAAGTACACAGTAATAATTCTAAAGGAGGTGTTGATGGCACATCCACTTTTCTCCAAACACCAGAGGCTTCGATTGACTCCAAAACGCCAGTGCGAACCCCGATGCTCAACTGTTCGCATAGGTCAATGTCAATGTCTGCCCACAGTTCCAAGACCCCTTTCAGCAAATCGAGCGCAATTGGCTGTCCACATGCAATGTCTGTTTGGAAGAGCACTTTTGCTTTGTCAGGAAAGATGCCAAGTCGCCTCTAAGCAGCTCAATCTCCCCTTCATTCAGCAAGGGCTCCCGCGAACTTTGTTGCGCATGGCATGCCAGGCGCGCCACTAATCTCCAATATGGGAGGGGCCTTAGATACCCCCCCCCTACAGACCCATCAGATTCTTTTCCAAAAGATTCTGACATGGCTGCACATATGTACCCAAAAAGAATCTGGATGTGGATTGACATTTGGAATCTTTAAATATCAAAAAGAATCGTAATACGTAGTAGTGAAGTTCAATCTTGGACTCTCAGGAGCGATATGAAGCGATCCTCCTTTTGTCTCTCACGGATTACCACGGTGATCCACAGTGTTACCCTGGGTGCAAGAACCGGAAATGTGTGGCAGCCACAGCCCACAGACCTGTACTGCTGCAAGGAAACACTGGAGTTGTACCCCTAAAATTCCCAAACTCAAGCGACACCGGCTCTGAGAACACTGCTTCTTTCTGAAAAGAAAGTATGTGACACACAAACAAACACATTAAAACATATAGAAATAAACATAGTATTCCGCAGACATCCACAGATTACCACAGTGAACTATCGAACTGTTATTTGTGGGAGCGCTTGGAAACTAAATTCGCGCAGATCTTTTCGATCATGGAATTCAAAAAAGAATCCGACCATACCCCCGACATACCCTGACCATACCCTTGGCACAAAAAGAATCCCAAAAAATGAATCCACCAAAAAGAATCCGGGAACCTAGTTGGTACCCTGGATTCTTTTCCCAAGGTACCCCCCATTCTCCAATCCATGATGCGAGACCACCATTTCAGTCGCAGCTCTTGCCCGTGATCAACATCCCGTGGCTCGGACCAGTCAGCTGTGGAGTGGATGCCACCCCCATCACGCAGCATCACGCTAGGGGGCCCTGACTCCGGGTCAAGCGTTTGCCCTGTTACTGGGTACTGGGTGGATATTGCAGGGATGGGTGGGGCTGGTTTCGGCACTTGCGAAGAAGATTCCACTGCCACTGCCACATAGGGCGTAGAAGCCTGGTCTTCACCTAGTCACTGGACTTTCTTCTTGGCGCACACTGCTGAGTGATGATCTGTAGAGCCACACGCCGCACACTTGTGTTTGAACTTGCACTGACGCAATTTGCACTCCCCAGCAATCCATTTGAAGCACTCACCGGTCGGCTTGCGCTTGTCTGCGCCGCCCCCAGGTTTCTGCGTCTCAAAAGGTCTCTTGCGCTTCAATGGCTCGCGGTCTAGCGGCTTCTCCAATTTTAGCCGGGGCATGAGCAAGGATCGGAGCATATCCCGATCAATTGCCACTGTGCTGAGCGCATCGTCCAAATTAGCTCCAGCATAGCAAAGTCCAAACACTTCTCGCATAGCACATTGGTCGGCCTCTTCCGCTTCTTGCGCTGTGCAAAATCGGAAGTGAGGGCCGGGTTCATTGGTGTAAAATTTCATGAACCTCGAATTATTGTATAGTGCCCAACTGCCAAGATGCCCAGATCCGACCATCGCATACGCATGCGATCGCATTGCGTTCTTTCACAGCAGAGGCCACCTTTTCACTGAGCACTTTTTTCCAAGGTACCCAGTCCCAAGCCTTGTTGTCATGTTGGTTCTTGACCATACTCAAGAAATTCATAGCAGGCAAAGTTTCCAATTCAACCAGGCATCCAGCGTATTTCTTTTCCAGCTCTCTGCGGAGCCTGTCACGATCGGCTACTGTCAAGACTTTGCCAGCTTGTGGTGTAGCGCGCAATGCCGGAACGAGCGCATTTGATACAGGAAGGGCTTGTACTGGCACCCCCCCACCCCCAACACGCTGCCACAGACCGCGCAGCTTCTGCACCAAAGGTTTGTGTGACCAATTGTCGGCTGTCACCCCCGCCCATTTCAAATCTGTGATGAGAAATTCTTTGGCAAACTGTTCGAAGGTCGCATCATCCTTGGATTGGAATGCGTCCTCTGTGTCGAAACCCAGCTCCACCAGCTTGGACCGCACTTCGTCCGGAAGTTTGGCAGTCACCATATAATTCTCCTAAGCTGAAGCAGACATAATGCCAAACAGCAAAAGAATAAACCAACCAAGAAACTCGACAGCCGTGAATGACCACGAACTATCTAGCTCACAACGGTAAAGCGGCCAGAGACACTGAAGGCTGAAGCCCCGAAGGCAGAAAGATCCCAATCATTGCTCAAGGCTCCTCACCAGACTTCCACAATTATGGTACAAGTACCTGTAGCTACAGTGGCCTTGCGCCCCCACAGAGAATACCCTGAAGGCCTTCCGCCCATAAAAAAGCCCTTCCGGCAAATAAAGGTGAACACGGCAAGTCACCTATTAAACAAGAGGGGTCTTCCACCCCAAGGAAGGCCCCATTTGGACACGGCAAGTCCAGGGCACCACCAAGAGAGGAACGCTTGGGTCCTTAAGGCCTTCCGCCTATGAAAACGCCCTTCCGGCAAATAAAGGTGAACACGGCAAGTCACCCATTAAACAAGAGGGGTCTTCCACCCCAAGGACGGCCCCATTTTCATCCTTTTTTTGGAGAAGCAGCCCCAATGACCACAAGGCTGAAAGCCCTGAAGACCTGGATCTGTACGTCGCAATTCGTACCAATCAGAAATGGGCGCTGTAGGCCGACACGACAGCCTCCAATGCTTCTCGTCTGCATCAACCCCGTCTGTTTTGTGGTGTGCAGCACGATGATACCATCCTGTGCGCGCGTTCAGCAGCCAAGGTCCAGCAAACTCAAGCTCCTCCGTCGTCTCATCTGCATGCCCTGCATCGCTTTCACCCGCATCACTGTCAGATGAGGCATCGCGGATACTAGAAGGACCGCTGCATGCTTCCTCAGGATCAGACTCAGAGTCAGTGAGGTCCAAGTCTTTGCACAAAGATGCTAGCACAGTTGCATCTTCCATCGAGGACTTAGACCCTAAACCTCTGCTTAGCGGCACGTGCGGGCACCACCCACATGCAATCCTTTTCAAAACCTTCTTCTGGCTCAATAGTTGCGGCCAAACATCGTCCCGCCCATACTTTTTGATGCAAGTGTTTGGCATGCTGGCTTTGCAACTATGCAGTGTGAACTGCCGCGCTGTTTCAGGTGAAAGATCTGCGTAATCGCAAAGACAGCGCCGCATCTGCCCAAGCATTGACGTATAAGCCATGGGCTGGCCTCCGCTGGCCATCAGAAAATCGCGCGCAGGGTCCGACTGTTGGCAATGCATTAGCCGCTGCCCAAATTGCACACCCCAGTCACTACCTGTCACTCCCCCCACGAGAACACCGAAAGCCATCCCCTGCGCTGATGTTTTCGCGCGCCAGGAATAACCCCGCACAGAACCATCCCGCAGTAACAAAGAAGAGAACTGCAAGCGCTGCACGTCACTCCACCGAAGCCCACCCCAGGTCATGAGCAGTAAGCAGCCAATGATCCAGCAGTCATCTTCATTGCAATTTTGCAGGCCACCACTGTCAAAGGTAGAGGTATAGCTTCTTTGCACAGAGAGGGTTTCCATTTGTCCTGCGCAAGCCATGCTGCAATGGCAGGGTTATCTACGCAAGCCAGCAGCTTCTGAAGGCCAAGCTTATGCCCCGCAAATTTCATAGCCTGCACCACCGCCTTGGCTGCACTAACCCGTTGCATCCCCCCTATCCGACAAGGAGCCAACGGAAAGGGCATCACAGAAGTCCAGCACAGCAGAACTGGATGGATCACCGGGGTTAATATGAGATGCACGGGCAAATTCTAGCCACTTGCGCCAACCATGAGAATGCTTGGCGAGTGTACCTGCAGCACGGTCTTCAAACAAGAAGGCAAGGCTCACCCCAGATTTGTTGGGAAAGGATGATAGGATATCACTATCTGCCTGCAAGTCTTCTGCCATGATAGCCCATTCATGCGACAAACGCTTGCGCTTCGCATCTTCTTGCATTCGCAAAGAACTGGCAGCAAGCCCAACTCCTGTTGCAGCAGTCACCTGGCGCGCCACCTGCTGGGGAGCCTTCTGCTGGCGCTCTTGAGCAGGAGGCACGGTCGAAACCTGGTGTGGCTCCATGCTAACAGCAAAAGGAGAAATAAACACCAAACGGCGGTGTTTAGGTGGAGGGACACCAGCAGCGGAATCCAACTGGAACCGGCTGGGTCTAACCTCTCGTTTCATAGCAGCAGAAGAAAGGGAAAAGCAAGAAAACCAACAAAAGAGAACTGCGCTCTATGTCAACCACCACTTCAACCTCAACCTAGTATCATGCATGCTTGTGGGTGAGGGTTTGTGTGATCGCCTAAAGGCGAGCTGATCCGGATGTCAAAACAAGAGCTTACAAATTATCGGACAATACTGGGAATATGAGCAGCTATTGAGCATTATTGAGAATATCTAAATACATATAACTATAATATATATATATGGTTATATATGTAATTAGTTCTAGCTATTGGTTCTGGAAGCCGAATCTTCATCACATCGCCCCGCAGGTGCGTGATGAACTGCTCCTCCGCAGTAGCGCGCTCAGAGGCCAAAGGTCCACGCCAGTCACGGCGCACGGTTAGGATGTCGGCGCGGCCTCCTTCACACCTGTGAGGCGGTAAGTGCTGACGGTCGTAGAGGTCGTAGTGAGGAAACATTCCAACGACTAAAGTACATCATCCCGGAAGAAACTCAGAAAGGAAAGCCCCTGAACTGAGAGAACCTTGCACTGTTTCTTATACCACCTGTGCTGACAATAACGGATGAGATCTGGCAAGCAGCTCTTCAGTAAGTGGATGTTGGAAAGGCGACATGGGCGTGCGGGCGTGAGGAACTACGGAACATCCAGGGTGGATAATTTTGGCATTGCCGGATGATGGCCCCGCAAATGGCATGGACATGGATTTCATCACCCGACATGGATCTAATTGATTCTAATTGTCACATATTGTCACGGATACAAGCTCAACCGCTTGCTACAGAAGACCTACAATTGTAAAGTTCCACCAAATAGACATTGAGTCCCTTTGAACCATGTGATCTAAGTCATTTCTATCCGCTTGCGCACCTCTTTGCATGACAAATAAACTTAATTGATGATGGTCTTTGGCACTTTGGTGGCCTGAAGCTGATCGGGTGGGCGAAGGCATGAAGTTGGGTTTGAGACGTGTCCCACACGTAACGTGTAGCTTTCCTTTGTGCGCGCTTTGGTGTCTTGGCTTTGGGCAAGATTGTGCTTCCACTGTATTTGTATAGATAATTAATGAACATTATTCTAAATCACAAGGCAACATATTGATCTATCTTCTGGAGGTCTTGGAGGGCGACTCCACTTCGATGGAGTTGCGAATGCACGTGCGTGAAGTGTTCAATACGGTCTTCCAAGGTCCCCTGACACTTTTGCAATCTTTTGTAGCTGAACATGGCTGAACGAGTCGAACGAGTTTTGGCCAAACTGCAAATGTGCGCCAATGGTGGCAGCCAGGGCTGGTAAGTCTGCTGAGTAGTAGACCACGTCCTGCCATTTTGCCGCCCCTTCTTTCGAGCTTCTGAGTCTTGACGATGCTTGCGATTCTAGGACCAGCCCCATGGCTCTATCAAATACTTGCATCCTGGTCTGTATCGGCTGGATCGAAAAGTCTCCTCTTGATTTGGTGTGTCCAACATCTTCCTACCACAGCTAGTCTTGGTATGTTCACATAGCAGCAGCTTTTTCAAGAAGACCCTTGAAGGTTCGTGACTGCAGGTTCGGGTCTGAGTGCAGAAGGTCTGCAATGAATGCACTCCCCAAGGTTCCTCCCCATTTCAATCCTAGCAAGAAGCTACTAGTACTACTAGTAACAAGAAGCTACTAAGAACAAAGGGCATCACCACTAGGAGCAAGGAAGCTACTAGTAGCCCTGCACAATTCCTGCACTGCCCTCGTTCGGGTCCGCTGCGATGAGGCGGCGGAAGGTGGCGGCGGATGAGATGTGAAGGAAGTCATGCCAGTCGATGTGCTTGACCTGCAAGTTGGAGAATGCTGGCAGTTGTGGTGCGCTCTCTTTCAAAGACTGACTTGAACCCGAAGGAAACAGGATGAAACAGGTATATAGTATATAGCTAGGAAACAGCAATCTCCGCCCTGAAGTGTACTTGTAGTTTCATCCAAGCAAATGAGTTTCCACTGCATGCTTAGGACTGTGCCTCTGCATTTGTAATTTTGTTCAGGACAACGTTCTGGCGCCTGTGCCAGTCGGTCATCCCAATGCTATGCTTCATTCATCCGCCAAGCAATTTAGAGCAGCCACTCTGACTGTATGATGCTTTAGTTTTACTTGGGCTCGCTGTGTAAATAAAACTGCAGTGAGCCCTAATTTTAGCCGGATGGACTACAAAAAGTGCAAAGAAAACTTTGAAGCTTGGCCAAGCTTCAAGTTGTCCAGCAATCCTTTGTTGCCAACAACAGACTCAGAAACAAACAGGATCAAACAGCAAGGGCGCAGCCTGGAATTCGCTTATGTCTGTTTGTGCCAGGTGGGCAGGTGATGGCTGGTGCTTAGATGCAACCCTGGCTAATTAAACGTAGTTGCCTTGTCTTGCAATGTTAGCCAGTGTAGATGACTACGCCAAGAACCTTAAGCCTGGGTTAAACCACGTAGCTTGCTTGCCAACATGTGCTTGTTGATCGAAAAGTGCGAGATCCGTCTTGCAACGGGGAACGCCATTAAACACCTAAATAAACACCTACAGCTGCCATTCACCTAAAGATGGCAATATGCCTTTTATTGCTGTCTTGATTTCCAACCACTCTGTCAAAGTAATGCAGCAGTTCCAGCCTCCGGCAGGGGATAACACAGCCGGATGCTAAACTGGAAAAACAATATATAGTATACAGTACTATATTGTATGTTATACATATTGTAGAAAATATATAACTAAACCTAAACTAAGTATATTATATTATATATAGCATGTTTAATGTATGTTAAAGATGGGCAAAACATGTTTCAAGCAGATCTCTGGGATCCTGGAGGCACCAGTCTTCCATCCTCCTCTCCAGTCGGGCCGAAGTCTGAGAGAACAACCGAGCTGGCCAGACAGCTCACAGTGATGCCCAAGAGTCCGATGCCTGCGACGGTCGCCGATAAGTCTGAGAACACCCCAGCGAGTTGTTTTTGCAAGAACAGAGTCACTTGCGATGTTTGTTTTGAGGACGGGTTCTTGAGGTGTTTGAGGAACATCTCAGGATTTTGTGATGTTGATAAACAATAGTGGATCTTGCAGTGAGGTCAACAATTGCGTGTTATCCATGGGCCTCTTATTGGGAGAAGCAACAATAGCCACCAGGTTTTCTTCCCTTTTGGAGTGACCCTTTCGGTCCTGCACACGTGTCAGTCCTGTTCGCTTACAACTTGTTACTACCTCTCGCACATCGGTTCAAGTCGATGTCATGCCGGACACTCTGGTCCGCGCTTACAACTTGTTACAACGACTCGAAGCTCCGACAAGGTCTAAAGAGAGGTGCCCAGCTTTGGACCTGAGTAGGTCAAAGAACACATGTTTAGGGACAAGAAGGCAAGGGCCTCTTTAATTTTAGTAATTTAGTGCTCAGGCAAAGCATTCCCCACGCATTTTTCCGTGCTGATGCTTTTTGTTCTGATAGAGTTTGTGAAGTGGAAAGAGGCTGGCGAAACCCCTGGCTCATGGGACATCAACGTGTGTGACTCGGGGCGAGGACTTGCCCCCCGGGGTTTCGGACTCTTGCCTGGAAACAAAAAGAAGAAATGAATGGGAAAAACACAAATATCAAGTTCTCCTTAAAGTTCCCTTTCGAGAGGCCCCAATGGTCCATTTTACTTTTCATCTTTCGTCTCTGTCCATACCTGGTCCTTGGCATCTGAGCCCGCCTGAGCCCAGCTCCAAGACCTCTTCACCTCCAAAAAGATCTTCGTGCGATGCGCCTCCGAGCCGAAAAAGGGCGCTTGAAGATCAACTATATCTTCTCAATGTAAAAGATTGCAACCGGTTGCAGAGGAAGGTAAGGTCTACTTAGTCTACTTAGTAACTGGCTTACTATGTTTAGTAGGGTCCAGTCAGATTTCGGGAGAGATTTGGCTTGAGCAGCCTATCTCTCAAGTTGCGCTAGTCCCTCCATCTGCTGGTCTTGGTTCGTCTTTATTTAGAGGTATACGGTATACTCCATCAAAACTATTGCCGGCAAAGAGCACCAAGCGGACATAAGGATCCCACCGTCCCAAAGGTGCCTTAGACTTGAAGCCGAAGGTATATATGGGGGTTGTCCAACAAAGCTCTTCTTTTCTGGCTTGTATCGTCGGCCTTCGCGGCCCTTTCGCGTTTGCAAAAAAAAACACAGGTTTCCTTTCGCGTGTTGTGATGAGCTTATTCCATTGCACTGAATTCACAAATGTTCACAGCGTTTAGGATATCTAAATACTTTTGGTGCGCTGAGAAGCAGGCTGCCCTTTGTCAATCCATACTTGAAGCAAATGTTTCAAGGCCATGGATGGGCAAATGCCCTTCCATGCAATGCGCCCTTTCGCGGGCCTATCGCCGGCCTTTCGCGGCCCTTTCGCGAAAATCCGTGTTTCTGCTCGGGAAAAGGATGTGTCATAGTTATTCATATATATATATATATAGGTGGCACATTATGTCCAGGTTGGCGCATGTCTTTCGCCGTCCTATCGCCGGCCTTTTGCGGACTGCAGTTTCCCTTTCACGAAATGTTTGTTTTAAGATGTCATCTAAATTCCTTTACTGGCAATAACGGACGGCCAATATATAATATAATATATATATATATATTATTGTGCTTGTCAACCCATCAGGACTGAAAGCTACACTAATCTGAAGCTGCCAAAAGCAAAGATTCTGCCGAGATGCCCTCCAAGTTTGCCCTCTGAGAAGGGAAGCTCATTCACCATGAAGCGCTGAACCTCCCCGTTGATCTTCAAATGAAATCGTCTCTCCGCCTCCCTCGGCACGTTCTTTTTCTTGCTTGTTCAACGGTCAAGGCTTTCTATCCAAAGGCGGAGGACGTTACAACAATCAAGGCAACTGACAACTGAGTTGCAGTAAGATGGTTCAACATGCGCACCCTTTCCAAGAACAACCCAGTTTGTTGGCTCGTGGTAGTTCTTGTTTGTGCTTGTGACGGACTGCAGAATGCCCGACACACTCATGGCCCCATGGCAATCTTGTCTCATTCACAAACTGATGGGCTGACCAAATCTACAGTAGCGGTAGTCTACTTGGAGCTTCTCGGACAAAACATCTGCGATGCAACTGAAGTATGTCGTACATCTTGATCATCAAACACAACCACAACCGCTTCGACCCCTTGTTCAATTTTGTTGCTATCATTGTCATGTTCTTCAGCCTAAGCTCGTGGGTGAACGGAGCTCGCAAATAGTGCATGTCTCACTGTCAGCTTCCCTCAAGCAATAGTAGCCTTGGCACACAAAAAGATGTGACACATCCGACGAGCTGTACAATGCACACTCAAGAAAAACAGAAGGCAAAGGGCATTGAACGAGCAACGTTGCAGTCCACTCCAGAACAAACGGAAGTCCAATTGGGAGGGACACTGTCGGCACAAATGTCGGTGACAGCCAAGTGCCCCAAGTGGCCGATGGGACGCTCAGATGAGGCCAGCTCTGCCAAGACTTCCTTGCGCATAACCATCTAAAAGGCCTACCACGATCACCACCTAATTAAAAGGCTTGGGCGGTTTGGGAATGATTGCGAATCTAAAGAACTTGCATCACCAGCAAATGCTGACAGCAAAGCAGCTAAGCAATGCCATAGCTTGTTGATACAACTCTTGACTGGAGGACAATCGGCGATTGACGTGAAAAATGTGACAGTGTGTCCTGGAGGGCCCGATGTCCCATTCTGCTGTTCTGCTCAAGTTCTGCACAACATGAAAGCTCAAACTCGACAAATTGACAAAGAACAAAATGAACAGAATCTCCCTTTCACTCTTCTTCCAAAGATCTTCTTCCTCAGTCCTTTGTTGGCACCCACTCAGGCTGCTCACTGCTTCGCATGCTTTGCCTGCTTCGCCGCCTCACTGTCCAGCATCCCAGCACGACGGGCGCTGCAATCGCCGCACACAGAAAGCGCCCACCGCGGTGGCCGGTGCCGCCACGGCCTTCCCTGGATCCCAGTGGCATAGGCACTGCAAGCAGCCGAAGTGGTGGAAGGCATGAGGAACGGACAATGCTCAGATCGCCCAAAAAGGCTGACATCGCATGAGAACCGCATGAAGTAACGTGGAAAACATGCACAGGATCATAGGAGGGTAATCTCATAGAGGTGGACTTTGACTTTGGGTCAGCTTGGTTAAAAAGTGGAGTTCCATCGAAATGCACACATCATAAATCACAAAGTTTCCAATCACACTATTAGCAAAGAGTAGCGGCATGTGCCCATGTGCATCGTGTAGCTTGTCTCAGAACACTCAGAATCACTTGAATGGTCAAAGTCAGCTTGCACGCAAAGTATGGCCTGCTGCTTGCCGATTATCCTACTGACACATACTGACACTCAAAATGAATCATTCCATGAAAGGCATCTCATCTTGGCAACGATCAAAAACGAGTGTGTAAAGTGTAAAGGAACTCCTGCAGGGTAGCTCTGCTTGCCGACCCATTTGACGCTGATTAGAATTTAGGGAGACGCTGCTATGTTCTGCCTTGCCAAGTCATGTCTGAAAGAAAAGGCAAGAATATGCATGGATTGAATTTTGGGGCGACTGATGGCTGGTGGGCAGGTCACATGCCACAATCCGACCTCACGGGCACTCCTGAACCATGGTCGTGGGAATGTACACCTGCAGAACGGTGCAAAGCGGTCGCAAAGCGGTCGCAAAGCGGTCGCAAAGCGGTCGCAAAGCGGTCGCAAAGCGG